TGCCATAACCACTGTGCTATGGGCGCCTAACTGAGACCTGACAATTTCTATCATGGCCTCTGGCCTAGTCCTCCACTTAGTGAATAGGTTGTTGTCTGACAAAATAAAGCATTCTGAGATATTAGGAGAATACAAACACAAGATAATTTTCTAACTTTTCCTAATCAAGGTACACATGGTATCATTTCCTGATTTTAAAGGAAGTAATCCCCAGAATATCCAACCTAGTATTATTAAACTAAAGTACAGTTGTACATTCAAAGACTAAGTTGACCATTCTTTCAGTTACTGTCATTTATAAAGTGCTCCTCAGAAACCCAAATTATATTTCCAGTGTGACCACAGCTATGTAAATACAATTTTTTTTTTTTTGAGACAGAGCCTCAAGCTATCTCCCTGGGTAGAGTGCTGTAACATCACAGCAACCTCCAATTCCTGGGCTCAAGCGAGTCTCCTGCCTCAGCCTCCCAAGTAACTAGGACCACAGGCACCTGCCACAATGCCCAGCTATTTTTTGGTTGCAGCCATCATTGTTGTTTTTGGCGGACCTGGGCTGGATTCGAACCCGCCACCTTAGGTGTATGTGGCTGGCGCCTTAGCCACTTGAGCCACAGGTGCCGAGCCAACAATTTTTTTTTTTTATAAAAAACCCTATATCTGGAAAAAAAATACATCAAAATGAGATTAGTGATTATCCTTTAAGGGGGCAGAAATACAGAAAATAGTCATTCTCTCACCTTTTTATCTTATGAATTTTCCAAATTTTATATAATGTGTATATATTTTTATGTAGAAAAGTATTATAACATTTATCTTTTAAAAAGTCAACGGGGTCAAAAAAAGTATGGAAATATTACACTAACTTCCTTGACCTTCTGTCCCTCAAATATTGTTCTTCTCATTTCTTTTCTTACTGAAGCTCTCAGAGAAAATCAAATAAAGGATTAGGAAAGTACGGGCCCTTCAGAAAGAATTACTTTTAGATCTCCCTTCATTTCAAACCAGGATTATTTCTTTCCTACCAAATTGGCAACAATAATAACCAGAATTGCAAAAATATTTTTATATTTAATATTGGCCCTCTAGCTGGGCCAATGTTATGTTTTAATTATTTGTTACTTCCTTTATTTATACCTCCTGAATTCACATATAAAATAAAAAACAGAAGAAATAGGATATCCGAAAACAGCGAAAGGTGTTTTTCAGTTTCAAGTAGTATTTTAAACTAACATCTGAAAATTTCCTTTAGCCTAGGTACCACAGTTGCCTCTGAAAGGAAGGCATGAGTCAGCAGTTTTCATCTCTTCCGTCAGGAGGAATCCTAAAAAACTAACTCTAAGTTACTTCAATATATATATATTATATATTGATATTATATATATATATGTATATGAGGCCATTTTGCAGGCTGTAATGATGGGGACTGTCACAGAAGTGCTGTCAGGTTGCTATGGCTTCTAACAATGTCAGTAACTGGTAAGTGTATTAGGCATGATTCTACGAACTTCCAGAGTCAAGATATACTAGAGTAGCAATATACCCTTTGGTGAATATTTGCACTTCAAAGGTTGTCAGCTAATGCATTATAAAACATTTTGAGGTACTTAAAGCATAAATTTTGAGCCAGGTATGATCTGGTTTCTTTTTTTTGTTTTTTTTGTTTTTTTTTTTTTTGAGACAGAGCCTTAAGCTGTCCCCCTAAGTAGAGTGCTGTGGCATCACAGCTCACAGCAACCTCCAAATCCTGGGCTCAAGCGAGTCTCCTGCCTCCGCCTCCCAAGTAGCTGGGACCACAGGTGCCCACCACAACGCCCAGCTATTTTTTGGTTGCAGCCATCATTGTTGTTTGGCAGGCCCGGGCTGGATTCAAACCCACCACCTTAGGTGTATGTGGCTAGCACCTTAGCTACTTGAGCCACAGGCGCCGAGCCATGATCTGGTTTCTTAAAGTTGTACCGCTTGTGTACTCTTGTGAATGGGGGAAAAAAATAATGACTATTTCATAGGGTTGTTATGACAATTCAATAAGATAAGTTTAAAGACCATGGAGTGGGCTCAGTGCCTGTGGCTCAAGTGGCTAAGGCGCCAGTCACATACATCAAAGGTGGCAGGTTCAAATCCAGCCCAGGCCCACCAAACAACAATGATGGCTGCAACAAAAAAAAAAAAAGCCAGGCGTTGTGGCGGGCACCTGTGGTCCCAGCTACTTGGGAGGCTGAGGCAGGAGACTCGCTTGAGCCCAGGAGTTGGAGGTTGCTGTGAGCTATGATGCTACAGCACTCTACCCAGGGAGATAGCTTTGAGAGATAGCTTGAGGCTCTGTCTCAAAAAAAAAAAAAAAAAAAAAGACCATGGAGTGTGGAAAGATTTCAATGAGTGAAGGACAGTATCATTTATTCCACCTGTTATCAGCACTACGAGTTGGAAAATTCTGCCTTTGAAGTAACCAGATTAACAATATGCAAACTTTCTGTCAAAGTTAAGAAGGGAGATTTGTCCTTAATTAAAGGTATAGTCTGCATTACTACTGGTAAATTTTAGGGTGTGTTCTTGATATAACTGAGTCCTTAGAATTGCAACAGATTGTTCACTTTCTGGTGTGCTTCCTGAAAGGATATAACTTCTTGCTGTTTACCTGCCAACCTAAGCAAAAGTTTACCCATTCATGCTCTGTTATCACTTTTTCCCTCATCCATCCTTTGACCTTGTCTTCCATCAGGCAGTAAAATAACTGAATGGATAACTGTGACTGATTTTGTGTTTGGTACAGCACCCAGCACATCCTTACACATTATGGATGTTTAAAAAATAATGTTTAGGCTCAGCGCCTATAGTACAGTGGTTACGGTGCCAGCCACATACACTCAGGCTGGTGGGTTCGAATCTAGCCCAGGCCAGCTAAACAACGACAACTGCAACAAAAAATAGCTGGGTGTTGTGGCAGGCGCCTGTAGTCCCAGATACTTGGAAGGCTGAGGCAAGAGAATCATTTAAGCCCAAGAGTTTGAGGTTGCTGTGAGCTGTGACGTCATGGCACTGTACTGAGGGCGACAGTGAGACTCTGTCTAAAAAAAAAAAAAATGTTTAATTGGTATTTCTCACCATTCATTCAGCCAATCATTTAGTAAGTAATTATGGAGTACTTACTATGTGTCAGGCACTATTTTGTTAAAGGGGATACTATGGTAACCCAAAAAGATGAGGTTCCTGTTCTCAGAATAGTTGATATTCTAGTGGGAACATAGCAATAAAAAATAAATAAACCAAGAATCAAGATAATTTCAGACAGTGAAAAGAGTGCTAAAGATACTATACTATAGCAAAATGACAGAGAATGCCAAAGTGCTGAGAAGATGGAAGAAGCCAGTGCTCATTTTTGTAGCTGAAATAGAGTGTATCTTTCTAAGGAAACGTTAGAGGATGTAGAAGGTACAAGATGAGACAGGAAAGATAGGCATGGACTAGATCTCATAGGGATTTGGAAGCCACAGTGAAAGATCTGAACCTTATTCTTGTTTTGATAGGATGCTACTAGAGGGTTTTTTTGTTTTTTTTGTTTTTTTTT